AAGTGGGCGTCCTCGCGATTCTGCCGTTGGGTGAATTTCGGAAGCGATCGAAGGGGCGTCTGGGGGCGATCCTGGGGCCGTATCGTGGTGTTGTGGTGCCGTAGCACAGCGTGCCGTGTCGCGGTGCCGTGGTGCCCCTCGTCCTGCCGACCCTCAAGGGCCCCGCCCAAGGGCTCCGCCGCCGCGCGCGTCGCGTGGGAGCCCCACGCGGCGCTGGGGCCCGCGCGGCGCGGCGATGGCCCTGGCAATCCACGGCGTGAAGGCCGTGGATTGCGCCGCTCGCGTCGCCGAGCGCGAGCTGGACGTGGTGGGCACGGGGTTCAAAGCTGGATGAGGGGGAGGTGGAGGAGGAGGGGGGGGAGGAGGATGAGGAGGAGGCCCTCAGTGCGCGAGATCTCCAGGAGATCTCGCGCACTGGAGGTGTCAGACCGCAGCGTGCTGCTGTTTTTGCTGTGCTGGGTTTTTTCAGTGTTCTGCAGTTTGGAGTGTTTCCTTTTTGTTATACCGATTTTCTCTAAAGGGTGAGGTTGGGGTAGGAGGAAGAGGAGGAGGAAGAGGAGGAAGAGGAGGAAGAGGAGGAAGAGGAGGAGGAGGAGGAGGAGGAGGAGGAGGAAGAGGAGGATGATAGTCTGCGTCTTCGTCTTCGTGCGGTCTATTCAGGCCGTGTGGGTTCCCAGTTGTTGTCCTTTTTATGTGTCGTCGGCCCAATATGGTTTACAACACACCCCCGTGAGGTGGAGATCATGTCGGGGAGCGAGAACATGACGTTCATGGCAGGGGTCATGGGCCTCCACGCCACAGGCTTCGACGTCGGCAAACGCTCGACGGAGGACATATTGCAGGTGAAAGGGTGGCACATTGCCGTCTGGTGACCCGCTGCTCGTGGATGATGATGATGATGATGATGATGATGATGATGATGATGATGATGATGATGATGAGGAGGGGGAGGAGGAGGAAGGAGAAGGAGGATTCCTGGGGCCCGAGGGGGAGGGGGCCAGCCTACTTTTGCCCCCAACGCATTCAAGTTAAAGTTAGAAACCTAGACTGGGGAGGCAACTCCCCAGGGTTGCGAATCCGTCCCACCGAGGCCCGAGGGGGGGGATTCTGGGCCAAAAACCAGCGTCAATATTTTTAAAAATATTGACGCTCGATTTTGGGCTGTTCACGGCCCTATCGAAGACGTTGAGGGTGAGGGGGAGGGATAGAGGAACGGAGGAGGTTGAAAGGGGGGGGGAGCTGGGGGATGGGCTGGGAGTGGGTGGGGGGGGGGAGTGGGCGGGGCCAGAGCGCTGGCCCCCGAGGTACGTGCTGAGCCTGAAGGAGAATGGCCTCCTGTGGATTAGCCTCGACACGTGGAGGACCATATTTTCTGTAATTTTTCTGTTTCCTGTAATGTGTCTGTCGCTCGCTCGCTCCTTCCGCCTCCCCCTAATGTATCTGCCCCCCCGCTTCCCCCTTTATCCCCCCACTTACCTTCCCTGTCGCCCCTCTACCGCTCCGCCATCCACTCTCGCTCCCGCGCTACCGCCAGGACTGACGACCACTCCGATTCCGAGCCCTGGGTGAAGCCGACGCCAGAGCAGGACGCTGCTTGCCAGGGGGGCGTCAGATCCTCGTCCCCACCTAGTCCGCAACTCTCGTCATCATATTTGTTATCCTTCTCCTCTCATCTCTCTCTTTCTTCATGCCCTCTCATTTCTTGTCACGTTCCTGTTTTCTGTAGCGTTTCTGTCGCGTTTCTGTTTTCTGTCACGTTTATGTTGCGTTGCGTTTCTTGTCACGTTTCTGTTTTCTGTGGCGTTTCTGTTGCGCTTGCGTTTTCTATCACGCGGCAGCGCCATTCGATGACGAGGGGGAGGGGGAAGGGCAGGAGGGCGGGCGAAGGAAGGGAAGGGGGGCGGGGGGAGGAGAATGAGGGGAGATGAAGACGAGAGGACGGAGGAAACGCAAACGCAACAGAAACGTGACAGAAAACAGAAACGCGACAGAAACGCTACAGAAAACAACAACGTCACAGGAAACGCAAACGCAACAGAAACGCGACAGAAAACAGAAATACTACAGAAAAAAAACAAACAAAACACAACCAACATAAACATTGAAAACAGATCTGGAAGTTCAATCCCTTCAAAAACTCTGGATGTTCCGGAGTCTCTAACCGTGCGAGCTCGGGGAAGATAGGAACGCGACAGAAAACAGAAACGTGACAGAAAACAGAAACGTGACAGAAACGCTACAGGAAAAAAACACAAAAACGTTACAGAACACGCACACGCAACAGAAACGAGACAGAAAGCAGAAACACTACAGAAAAACACAAACAGCATAAACACTGTAAAAATATCTGGAAGTTCAGCCCCCCAAAAAAACTCTGGATGTTCCGGAGTCTCTAACCGCCCGAGCTCGGCGAAGACAGAAACGCGACAGAAAACAGAAACGCGACAGAAAACAGAAACGTGACAGTATATATATTTATATATTCCGTAGCCATTTTGGCTTTCAGGTTGAGTCGGCGAGTAGCAACGATGAGCAAGCGCACTCGCCATGCGAATTGGAAGCCAACACATGGCGAGGACCCTTCCAAGTTCATAGGGCGCGCGCTTGAGGGCACGCTGGCATACGTCGCGGATCGAGGGCTCTATCCGTCCAGAGACATGAAAAAGGGTGTGGTCGTCAGCTACATTAGCGCTGTCGCGGGGTCGCTCCTCGAGCTCGTGAAGATCGATCCTCGCGGCGGCATCTTCAGCCAGCTGGACGTGACCTTGGCCGTCCGCGCAGTCATCGCGGAGCAGCCAGCCGTCGGCGGGAAGATCAGGAAGATGGCGCTTGACTTCAACAAGACGTTCGAGAAGACGGTGGAGCTCGTGGGCTACAGCTACAGGGTGATGTTGTCTCACACTCGGATCAAGTTCGCGCAGTGGAACCTTCTGATCGCCAAGAACGGCCGCCATGCGACGGAGGCGTCCGAGACCTACTCCCACCCGCCCGCCCTCAGGAACATCTACGTGGTCATGGAGCGCCTCGCCCCTCGCAGCATCCTCGACGAGTACGCTGCCGTGCTGGCGGGGCCGACGCCCGCGCCTGCGCGGGCACTCCCCGCGTGCCCGTTCCCTGCTTTCAGGGCGCAGCCGACGGTGCCCATCGGCATGGTCGAGCCAGCGCCAGTGACCTTCGATGATGACGCGATGCTCCAGCATCCGCTCGCCCTTGAGGATTCCGACGACGAGGACGTGCTCGGCCCCGAGGACCCGTTGCCGCTGGGGCCTCCCGCATCGACCCCCCCGCGACCGAGCCGAGGCGGCGACGTCGATTCGGCGTTGGGCGTGCTTGCGTTCGAGCCCCCAGAGCCCAGCGCCGCCCTCGACCGCGTGATCTTAGACCTCTGTTCGCCAGGGACACCCGTCGCAGGTGCACTGGTGAACTTGTGCTCGCAGTCGTCCGATCGCGTGGCCGACGAGGAGATGGCGGTGATAGACACGTACCTGGAGAAGGGCGTGGTCAAACGCAGGCTCGCTGACGGCTCGGTCCGCCTCCCGATTAAACAGAGCCGCGGCGCAGGGGGCTTCGTCGTCGTGAACTGGGGCGGCGGCGACGAGGAGGAAACGCTCTACCCGAACAGCAGGCTCGATGAGACTGGGAACCTCATGCCGCCAAAGAAGTTCCCCAGCCCAGCCGATGACGAATATCAGGAGGAGGAGGAGGAGGGGGGCGCCCTCGTCGTCGACGTGGACCCCGAGAAGATCGAGAAGAGGGCGGGCAAGGGCAAAGGCAAGGCCAAATGCAAGGCCAAGGGGAAGGCCAAGGGAAAAGCTAAGGCCAAGGCGAAGGCTAAGGCTGCAGCTCCGAGGCCGACCCCTCCGCTGACGCTCAAGAAGAGGCCGTCGCACAGGGGCGGCTCGAGCGTCGTCATCTGCACCAAGGCCCACGACAAGAAGCAGGTGCTGGAGGTGGGCCCGAGCGAGTCGGACAGGCCGTCAGACGTGATCGACCAGGCCATCAGCGAGGTGAAGGAGTTCGTGGAGGTCGAGCTCGGCAGGGGCGTCGACTCAGTGGGGCAGCTGAGTGATGCACAGCTGGCCGACGTTCGCGCCCGTCTCAGGGCGGCGAAGTGCAGGCTCTGCATTTAGTCGCGGCCAGGCCGAGCGTGACAGAAAACAGAAACGCGACAGAAAACAGAACGGGCGACAGAACATATAAATTCTAGGAAAAAAAAAAAAACGAGATACGGAACACACAAAACACGCAACACATAAATGTTACAGAAAACAAAAAAAAACGCTAGAGAAACCATCAGTTACAGGACATAGACACGCTATCAACACACATGCGCACATCTGCAGCGACCCACCATCGTGTGTATCCTCCAGCTCCGCCTCCCCCCTCTCCCTCCTGCCCCCTCCCTTTACTGTCTCCTCCTCCGCGCCCACCCTTTCCCTCTGGGGTTCGGGACCCTGTGGGATCAGCGGGGGCGCCTCGAGCCCCGAAGCCTCGAAGCCGTCGAGGTTGGTCTGTCGCCTCCCCGAAAGGCAGGAAGGTTGATTCGGGGGGGCGGGAGGGCTGGGCATGGGGATGGGGAGATGTGAGGCGAGGGCGATGGGGGGCGGGGAAGAGAGAGGATGCGCAGGCGGAGGGTGTACAGCCAACGCGCCTAGTAAGGGCGCGCGTCTTCCCCTAGGGTGCCCTTGCGTCCCCGCCTCTGCAACCCGTCCTTCGCCGTTTCTGCGGCCCGCCCTTAGCCGCCCAACTTCGGTTGCGTCCTTGCCACCAGTCCTAAACGCACGTGTTCGCTGTAAGGGACATCATTGCATGGGGGCCGAGGCGGAGGGTGGATCAGTGCCCGCGCTAGGAGAAGTTCGGGGAGTGCGTCGTGTACCTGGCGTGGGTCGGCGCGAAGCGGGGCGTGCACGTGGTGGTGGAGACGCCGTCCAACAGCAGCTTCTGGAAATACAGTTTATGGCTGATGGGCAGTGAAGACTCCTACAAGCGCATCATTCCTT